TTGATAAAAACAAAACATTCTTGGATAATTTCAAACTGATGCATACCCTTGGATTTTCATTTAAACATAGCATCCAGACATTGATATAACAAGATACATGTATTTAATTCACAGTACATCAACATAAAGGTTGGATTTTTCTGGCACTTTCAGGATTTAAAGCATGATGACAACTATAAAAGTTTAACAATAAAAAGGACTCGCCTACTAAGTATACTCAGTCCCTGACAACAATAATGCGGAGATTCTATTAAATATCGAAATGATGAACATAATGGATAATTTCACAAGTTTAAACGACACAATATTTAACGACGCTTTCCGTCACTTCCAGGATCAGTGAGATCAACTTTCATTCTTAGAATTATTCCTTTGGCACCTTAACCGACATTTTTGAAACAAGACTTTCAAATTTCCAGTGTTGTTCTGTGGGCCGATTAACCCTACGAGCAATGTAAACAATCCCAATGAAAATATGAGAGAAAACCCGATTGTGCAAAACATAAACACGCCAAACTGCATAAAGAATTGAATTTCGGCAGCAAACATAAATAAAGCTGCTCCGAGGGTAGTGCATGCGCCGGAGAAAACGGAAGATCCCATTTCCTCCAGCATGTCACGTGTCCTGTGGTATCTATCTTTGTGAAGTGACAATGTGTATCCTTCCGCCAAGTGCACTACAAAATCCACCGCTAGACCGACTACCAGACACATATTTAATGACGTCAACAACTGAAACAGAGTTGAAATATGGAATATTTTCAATATTTCTGAATGAAATTGATCAAAATTTTAAAACATTGCTGTGATTAGAGAAATAAGATGTCAGGAGTTTTTCCAAACTTTGAAAAATCAATAATGTTTTCATCCAGTCCCAGTCGCCAACCTACCCCTAGTTTCCAGCCGGCCAGTGGAATGACCCCAATGACGCAGACAGTGGTACAACAGATGGAGAACGTGGCAAGGAAACCGATCACGACATTCATGGTGGACAGAGACAGAATGGGGAAGGCGAGACATACACCAATCAAGATTCCAAGTAAGGCGTTATCTGCAAGCGTCTGCAAAATCAAGTCATAATGTAAGACATAAAAAAGAAGCAGAACTATAGGCAAACACCAAATGATGCATATCATCACTGATTTTTAGCTCACCTGAGCTGAAAGCTCAAGTGAGCTTTTCTGATCACATTTTGTCCGGCGTCCGTCTGTCTGTCCGTCCGTCCGTCTGTCCGTAAACTTTTTACATTTTTGACTTCTTCTCAAGAACCGCTGGGCCAGTTTCAACCAAACTTGCCACAAAGCATCCTTGGGTGAAAGGGATTCAAGTTTATTCAAATGAAGGGCCACGCCCTCATTCAAGGGGAGATAATTGGGAATTAATGAAAATTTGGTGGCATATTTTAAAAATCTTCTTCTCAAGAACCACTGTGCCAGGAAAGATGAAACTTATAGGGAAACATCCTCAGGTAGTGTAGATTCAAGTTTGTTCAAATCATGACCCCCGGGGGTAGGGCGGGGCCAAAATGGCCGACGTAAGTTTTACATAGAAATATATATGAAAATTCTTTAAAAATCTTCTTCTCAAGAATGACAAAGCCATAATTCATCATATTTATATGGAAGCATGCTCAGGTAGTGTAGATTCAACTTTGTTCAAATCATGACCCCCGGGGGTAGGGCGGGGCCAAAATGGCCGACCAAAGTTTTACATAGAAATATATAGGAAAATTCTTTAAAAATCTTCTTCTCAAGAATGACAAAGCCATAATTCATCATATTTATATGGAAGCATGCTCAGGTAGTGTAGATTCAAATTTGTTCAAATCATGACTCCCTGGGGTAGGGCAGGGCCAAAATGGCCGACCTAAGTTTTACATAGAGATATATAGGAAAATTCTTTAAAAATCTTCTTCTCAAGAATGACAAAGCCATAATTCATCATATTTATATGGAAGCATGCTCAGGTAGTGTAGATTCAAGTTTGTTCAAATCATGACCCCCAGCGTAAGGCAGGACCAAAATGGCCGACCAAATTTTACATAGAAATATATAGGAAAATTCTTTAAAAATCTTCTCAAGAATGACAAAGCCATAATTCATCATATTTATATGGAAGCATGCTCAGGTAGTGTAGATTCAAATTTGTTCAAATCATGACCCCCTGGGGTAGGGCAGGGCCAAAATGGCCGACCTAAGTTTTACATAGAAATATATAGGAAAATTCTTTAAACATCTTCTTCTCAAGAATGACAAAGCCATAATTCATCATATTTATATGGAAGCATGCTCAGGTAGTGTAGATTCAACTTTGTTCAAATCATGACCCCCGGGGGTAGGGCGGGGCCAAAATGGCCGACCAAAGTTTTACATAGAAATAAATAGGAAAATTCTTTAAAAATCTTCTTCTCAAGAATGACAAAGCCATAATTCATCATATTTATATGGAAGCATGCTCAGGTAGTGTAGATTCAAATTTGTTCAAATCATGACCCCCGGGGTAGGGCGGGGCAAAATGGCCGACCAAAGTTTTACATAGAAATATATAGGAAAATTCTTTAAAAATCATTTTCTAAAAAATAGCAAATCCATGACTGGTCATGGGACTACTTTTGGATTTAAACTTGACAATAAAAAGCCATTTTCTACTTTTTCCTACCCTTAGTGCTCAGGTGAGCGATGTGGCCCATGGGCCTCTTGTTGTTTGTTTGTTCAATCTAAGCTCTTGATATGGAAATAATTTCCATCCAATTGTGTAATCTACAGTTAAACATGCTTTAATTGATTTGCTGGGCAGGAAACAATTTTGATACGTTTTGAACGTAATAAAATACACCTCTATCCTTATATCAAGTTAAAAAAATTATAATATCCATGATAAGCGTGTTTGATGTAACCGCGTAAGTGTATAACTATTTACTGACCTTAAGGACATAGATCCAGTGCCACGTTTGCCTGGTCAGTTGAAAGCCTTTTTTGAGACCATCTGGCATTGCAGCCATCTAAAACAAAGTAAAAAAAATCATAGACAATTAATCATTTAAAAAAAAAGATACATTTCATTCATACAATAATGCTTCTTCAATTTGTGATGATCTGGTGATTAATTATTACGTGTTAAATTTGAACTGTCAGACTAGGAGGGTTTATGTAATTTCTTGATTAGTCATGTTAGTATCCAAAGACCAACAATGTGTGAGAGAAGCTGAATTTTTGTCAAGATATGAAACTATGTGAGACATGACTATATGTCTGTATGTAGACGTAGTTTGTAATGAAAATGAAAAATTCTATTTGCGTAAGTTAGATGAAATTATCTTAAATACATGTACATATAGTTTTTTTTTTTTAAATTGAGTTTTATACACAATGAAGTCTACTTGAAATACTAACTAATAATCTGGGTTTTTTAAATCATTATTATGTTCTCCCACCTTGTTGTTAATGAGTTGCTCCCACTTTTCAATGAGAGGTATACCAGTGGAGTACCCGGTTATTCTTCTGTTGATTGTCGTATTCACCTGCACCGCCAGGTACTTCATCTTATTCCCGTAGTGTATCTCTAAGAGAAAGGAAAACACCTTGTCAATGTAGAGAAGAAGATTATTAAGGGTACATTAAATGCCTTCAGAGTGTTTTAATGATTGATGTTACAGTGTGAAAAACCGGTGATGACACCCCGCACTCCTGCAAACGCGAGATAATGATTTAAGTTTTGAAGATGTGAATTATTTTTGGTTTTAATTTTTGGGGTTAAACTCACGACTATTTGTTATGAGAGGCTGGCTGAATGTTGTCTTTTCCTCTCCAAACAGATCATTGTATAAACCATAGTCTGTCGTATAGTTCATAGAATAACCGTCATACATCCAGTACTGCATAGGAATCTGCAAACAAACGACAGCTTTTTGTAAATAATAGTCTCTATGTAGATTATTGAATGATTGATTGTATCTTGTTTTACGCCCATTCAAGAATTTTTCACTCATATAGAGACGTCAAAATATACTGACGAAAGGCTTCAAAGTTTGACCTTTAGTAAAGGCTTTACTCGGCACTCAGGGCCATTGAGCAGTGAGGGATCTTTATCGTGACAACGCATGCCTTGACACGGGACCTTGGTTCTTGAAGTTTCATCCAAAAGACCTGCAACTCTTACTTCAAGTGCCGAGCACATGGCGAGGAAACAGTTGCTATCAATTGTTAACGTAGATTAAGCAAACTTCATGCTATCAAAGTTGACCAATTGAATACAAATATTGCAGAAGTTGAGTATTCTAGTTTTAAGATGTTATGAAAATATTCTCATGCAGTGAAAACCTGTAACATAAGTAAATGAATTCTTTATAAATACAGGAAAGTGAGAGGGTTGTCCCAAATCATGGAGAACGAGGAATCTATCTATGTAAGTTGTTTTTCACAATACTGATCATACAGTATGAAAATAACCTTGACGAAAACCAGAGATCAAAATTGTTTCTTCAGATAAAATTGATATAATGGTATAAAAACCTAGTTAACTGAATATAGCTCTAGTGAGAATACAGCGGTCGTTGCTTCAATACTGTTTTCTCATATCCCATTGAAAAAGAACCCGAAAAATAATTTTGTGATTATGCAAATATTTGGTTTTTTATAAACCCTACAAAAGTGTATAATATTTTGATATAAAATGATTTTGTGAAGTTTGTGAAATGCATTGATGTAAATTGAAATTTTTATTACAATTAGGAGTTTAATTTTTCATAAGCGGATTTAATAGATTTAGTCAAGGTGAGTGAAGTAATATCAGTCTAGAAAGCCTTAGATACTAAACCAAGAAAAAGTAATCTGCCAATGGTCAGATAGCACAACAAATAAAATCAATAGTCACCGACGGAGGAGCGTTACTTACGCTTTTGAAAACAGAATCAACAATAGTGTAATGTAAAAAGTCAGATAAATCATTATAATACAAATCAAATTGTTATTCCAAAGAAAGATGAAATATAAGCTTAACATGGATACGTATTAGAATTATTTCATTAACTACAGAAATTGATCAATTTTTTTTACGGTTATGAAACCAAATTGACGTCAATTTGTCTCGAAAAAGGAGTAGTGAATTAGTGTATGATGTCGTAGGTTCATTATCCTAACAACCACGTATTCTGACAGAGTATGAAGTATCCATTGGTGTTTTTCCTCTACTTAATGACGATTTATAGTTCTTACCGACAGAAAGTCTGTATATGAAGAGTATCCAGTGGTATTATAAAAATTTGTTTGGGCGTTCATGAATGCCAGAGTTTTTGCCGAGTCCCAGGGAAGCGACAGGTCCAATCCGCCTACAGACAGCGACTAAAATACCAATAGATAAAAATGGATAGGGTGGCTGTGAACAAAATGATCAAGAATGATAAATATGGCTTCGATGTCATTCTTCATAACCTTAGTAATGAATTTCATATTAAACCTTAACACATATAGAACTTTCAAGTTATAGAAAGTTAAGTATGCAAGAATTTCACAATTTTCATTCTGGTACACTTTTTCCTGAAGTCTTTGCAAAACATCGTGGTATAATTTTGGGGGTTTCAGTTCCTGTTTCAGATTAAAGCTTAATTTCAGCACTGTTACAATCTACTTGCATCTCAAAAATGTCTACGATTTATAATTATTCAGTAGTCAATACATTACGAGATTTTGGTATGGTACACGTTCAATTTTTGTGTGCATTCTGACATATTGTGCATTTACCTTCAGATATGTTTCCAGATCTCTTGTGAAGCATGCGACTTCTGGAATTCCAGATGTGTCCGTCTTGATTCTGTACTGACTTAGATCTGAAGATGACATGTTGTAGAATGAGTCACAAAATTCCTGAAAAAGACAAGAAACCCCACCTACATGGGTAACCAAAAGAGTAGAAAAAGAACTCGTTGACGAATATTTAAAGAACAAAATGAAAAAAAAACAAAGCCTTAAAATTTGCAAAATAAACCTTTAATTTCTCCTGATTTCCCGGAGGGTTTGGATCGAAGGAGGAGTCGTACACTTGGGTACCTCTGCAATCGATGGAGGAGAAATGACAATCACTTCGGTCTTTTTCAGAGATTCCCCACACAATGTAGATCTTCACCAGATTGTCGTCCACATTCTCCACGAATGAATATAGCTCCTTGTTCTGGGCTTTTGTGTAGAAGTGGGATTTCTTGTAGACTTGAAGCTGTAAAAGATATAGAAGTAGAAAAACTGAAGACATCACTGCTGAGAACAGTAGATCTGCACTTACCCACCTTTCTTTTCTCTCATCTCGAGTTGGAGTACAAGTAAGGTAGAATTGTAACACAAAGATATTTTTCTAATATTTTACAGAATAAATCTATATAATGAATGAAAAGAGATTTTATCAAGAGTACATAAATGATAGAATAATATTTAATCAAATAAAAAACAAATACTTTTGAATTATCTTTATTCGTGAGGGACCAAAGTTCGATGATTTTGAGGTCCACCTAGCTTTCCCAAGAATTTACATATCATCGAACGATAATGACGTTTTCTATACATCAGTGCAATGAAACATGTACTCGTAAAACACCCCTAAACTTTGATTGCTTGTGAACATTAATCTCTCGCCAATTAAAATGATTCCACAGAACTACATGTAGCACGATTTACCTCTTCGTTGTCTGGCTCCAAAGTAGACGCAGAGTATGCAAGGAAAGATACCACGACAGCAAAGACAGGAATTGCAATACATCTTGTGATTTTGTTCGTTATAAAGCGGAGGTAGTAGTCTCTGAAAAACACAGTCAATTTTTTCTGCCTTTTTTTATGCAGGGCTTTGACAACCAGTGAGTCTTTTGTCTTCTTGTTTTCTGATGTCGTGATAGTTCCGTTAGCTTGAGGTTTACCATTCGCAACAAACCCATTTGCATGTCCATTTAGAACAGGAGTTTTGCCATTTGCTAGTCCATTGGTATAGCTACTTGTTAGAGAAGATTTCTTCTCAATGTTGGGGATTGGATTTCCATTGACAGTAACATTAACAACACTTCCATTAGTGTTACAAACAGGTGGTAACTTCTTGTCTTCCACGGTCAATTCTAGTTCTGTGATAACAAACACTTCGTTAGATACGCCAGTTTTAGTCTTCTCTGAAGAGCTCTCGTCCTCTTTCTCTTTGCATTTTCGACAACAAGGACATGTCCACTGCTCAAATTTTAAATGATACACAGTTATCACAGTCGGGAAGAATACTATCACAGACAGGTAGTTGTAAATGACAAGGATCGCGGAAAAGGCTCCAAAGGACCGTGTGGCAAGAAGTGGGGAAATAGTGCTCGACAAGAAGGCGACGGCTGTTGTTAGTGACGTAATAAACATGCTTAGAACTGACTTAGAGTACGCGTCTGACAGACGGTGTGCGAGGCTTGGGTACGTGGAAAATGCTGTAAGTCGCCAGTTATCATAAAACACGAAAAGGTCATCCGCTCCAATACCCAAAATGATGAAAATGGACAAGATATGAAAGAAGCCGAAATACTGAAAGTCAATAATTCCCGTATATATAATATTTGTTCCTAAAAAACTCAAAAGAATGCTGAGAATGGCAAATCCCGCGATCCAAAATGACCTGGTGTGAAACAGCATAAAGCAAAAGATAAATAACATACTCCCCACTGCACATAACATGTCTAAAATGGCTTGTTTGAGAGTGTCTGACAGCCATAAATTCGTGCAGAAGAAGTAAAAGTTAAAGTCATCTGTAGATTCGTCCACATAATCTTTCAGTTTTGTTTGAATACCATCTTTTAAATAAGTCAAAGCTTGTTTTTTCCATGTATCCGATAAGCACTTAGTAGAACCACTCGTGGAACACCCTACCCGCAAAATTGACCGAGTGAGAGTTCCATGCACGTGCGTAGCAGACAAGCTGTATCCTTTAGGAAGGAAGAATTGAAAATCTTCCGTAGTGGCGTTGTTTGTGAAAGCTTCGTACAACACGGCAGCTATGTTGTTAAAGTTAGGGTCATCTAATATAGCGCTTACTTGTTTGTATGTTCCATCAAAATATCTCAGAACAGATTTAAATGGTTTACAAGATAGTGAATCGTTGTGTGTCATACAGACAGAGGAATAAGATGCTGAACTGGCCAGTTCATTTTCTATACGCTGTATTCTCTGCAGATTGGCTTTGGTAAAAATATTTCCCACGTCTGTGTCATAAATCAGGTCTATTGAAGAGAACACAGAGAAAAGACCCCTCTCGTAACTGATCACTTGTTGTGAAAGCGTCCTCTTAAATATATCACTATAGCTGTTCCTGTCCCGCCAAGCGTAGTCCCTCACTCGGTATGGAATGTCGTACAGCTCCATCGGAAGTTTCTCAAAGTTTGTAGGAAAGAGGTTGAACCCCGAGGCAAAGAGAATTCCGGATATAATCACCATGGCAATGTGACACGACAAGGTTATTACTGCAAAGAAAATGCGTAGACGTTAGTTTCCCTTAAATAGAAATGACGAAAATCATGAATTTTAAAGAGTAACGCAAAGGCAGGGGATGCTCACTCCTCCATGGCACCTGTTCCTACCTCTGATGTTTTGGAGGTTTGTGTTTGTTCTGCCCCTGTTTTGTATTGTTTTATGGACTTTTGATCTTGAATACTGTTCGCTACTTCATTTGTTTCATTTATGCTGTTGCAGAAAAATACATATATACTTTTTTTCTGCAAAAGCTTCAACGTTCATTCCCGTACTTAAAAACGAAAAGACGTTTTTTTTAAAATATATATTTACACATGTATATTTTTATAAAAATCATCTTAAATAGCATTGAAAAGATTAAAGATTGAATTATTGATTTGTGCGTAATTGTACGTTTTATTAATGGAAGAGCCACTGCACAAAAAATCTGTACACGTGATATGCTCCGTGTTCTTTACTGACTGATAAACGACAATGGGTTTTTTTTTAAGAAATAAAGGAGGAAATAGTCTGTGAATATAAATAAAAGGCAAATAAATTGAGTTCCTCTCCTTACAGCTTCACTTAGTGGCATTAATGTGCCGTAGTTTAATCTTAGTACGAGTGTATATTAAAAAAACATGGATCTCAGTCTATCGTCAAAAAAAGGAATATTTCTTTTCAGTCTAAATCACTGAATAATTGTTTTAAAAAATATGTTCTAATTAGTTCGTTTTGGTTGATGTTGTTCATTGGCAATAACAAATATGTTTTATAGGAAAACTAACATCGGTAAGAGACATGCATGGTTTTTTTTTTTTTACCTAAATTTAGAAATAGTCTAAGGAAAACGGATTGCCGCTTATTGGCATACTAGTATTACTTTTCTGTGATACGTGAATTAAATGTTGAAATCAAAGAGAATGATCAAGACCTTTAAAGTCATGATTCCGTGTACATTATGATTTGTCCTCGTTTCCAGTCGAACGGAACGTAATAGGTCGTCTTCGTAGTCTATACTACCATTGTAGTACAACTGTCCTGAATAATTTATATGCAACAAATCCTCTCTGAAACCCACAAACTAATACTAAGTCTTTTATTATATTGGTTGTCAACCACCTAATAATTTTTTGTTGCGTTTTAAATGACTTAGGAATTTTATCAATATCATAATTATAGCACACTGCTGTGTCTCTTTTATTTTCTTTTATAAATTTCCATCTGCTTTTAAGACCATTTATATGACAACACGTAACAATTTCAACTTCAGATTGAAAATTAATAAATGCCACAGGTAATTTGATAACACGCGTTGGATAAGGTAGATTTGTAATGATGAGAATATATAACAAAAAAAAAATCAATGCCTAAAACAGTAACGCATATATGTACTTATTTTGAGTCTACATGTATTTTATAAGTAAATTGACTTACCAAAACATTTGACGGGGTATTTGGCCACCAGCCTGCAGTAAAAGAACGGCTTCTTTTCCCTCCGTGCCCTCTCCAATGCCTCAGTTTCGTCTTCAATCCCCTCCTTATCGGAATCCTGGCTGGGGGTCACTTTAACGGGGCTGGATCCCCGGACTACGGAATCACTAGTCATGGTGAGATGTAACAAATTACACGTCCGTGTAGAGAGTTCTTATCCTTTCGTTGTTAAGATTGGGGTTTTTTAACACTGGAGATGTAGGGTAGTCCAGAGAAGTAGTCCTCTGTCAGACAGCGACGTCATTGTTATTCACTCTCTCTCCTCTGTATCCGCGACTGTAGACCGTGATACTGCCTGCAGTTTACTGTAGTTTACTAGATACTGCCAGGTATTAAATAACCCGATATTAGTACACCCGTACCCGGTATTCAACTTGAATAGGGTTTTTAAAACAGATCAGTTATACAAATCAACAAAAGCCTGCGCATTTTTTCGGAGTGAAATACAATGAGAGACTTTATAATCCTTGATCGGGACTGAGGTTCGGGTACACGTGTACCTATGGTAAAGACCGTCTGCTATAACTGTAGGATTCTTATTTAATTATACATGAAAAACAGTCAGCTGTGATCCAAACCCGACATATTGAAAATTTATGTTTCGTTACCTTACTGGGAATACCATGAAACAATGTTACCACTTCCTCTTTTTGAGGAAAATCGATAAAAACTAATTTTATGACGAAGGTAAATTATTTCAGTGTTATAAAACGTCAAATTGCCGAGTACATAAGAGAAAGTGTCAGAGGAAGTTCATAGAAAATATAGATAAATGAAAAAAAAAAAGTCGATTATTTCGTTGGATGTAGCTTGAAACCAAGAGAGATGTTTAAGCTTACCTGAGCTAATGCCTCTAGTGACCCCTTTAAATAAAACAATTTCAAAAACTTTTGATTTATATTTTTATCTGCTCTTTGACTATTTTGGACACTTTTCACAAAAAAAGTCACAGTATATCGTTGAGTGAAGAATTTTTACTATGTTTTTTTTTCTATATCTATAAATAAAGAGCTAGGCGCGGATCCAGGATTTTTTTCGGGGGGGTTCAAAAAAAAGCAAAAAAAAAATCCTTTCTAATGGTCTTTAATTTATTTCGTGTAAGGGAGGGGGGCGCTCATTTATAAAGCTTCATAAATACATAACATTTCATAACAACACGGGTCACTGTTTTCTAGGTGGATCTTTGTTTTCAAGGAAAAAGAGGGGGTTTCCAAGGTCACTTTTAGTAAGTTTAGTATATACATTTAATAACTTTGTAAATTCCAGGGGGAAGGGGCAGGTCTGCAACTCCCTCCCCTCGACCCCCTTTAAATCTGTGCATGAAAGCCATTTTTTTTCCGGGAGTAATAACAAGAAAGGTATGATGGTAATTCATTTAAAAATCTACATACAATACACCAGATTTAGTGCATCCCATGGTTATGGCTGTACACCATTTTAATCGTGATTATTTTTTTCGGACGGAAACAAATTACATATACCTTTTTATTTAGAAGCAAACATTCAAATAGACATATAAAAGCACTCTCACATACAGACACATCCTCACATACAAACACACATGGAAGGGGGATGAAACAAAGGTTTGTTCCCATCTTACATGTATTATTTCATTCACTGTATTCATAAATTCCCATTAACTGTTAAATTCAATCTAAAAATTTTTATCATTTAAATTTTTATATCAACCCAGTGATAATATTTACAAATGCTAAAATTCCCATTTCGCCTTAGTACTTTTTAACTTTTTCTTACCTGAATTTCACAGTTAAGGCGAAATGGGAACACACCGAAATAAATATAAGTTTACAATATAGGCCTAATATTTAAATTTTTATCATCTACTTTTTTTTGATTTGATCCTTTACGGTCAGTTGAAAAGTAAAAAAGGATTATTCTCTCTTGTGCATTTTTTCTTTTAATTAGCTTTATATACATATACTTTTCATAGTTCACTACTAATTAATTTTATATCGAGATATCGTGAAGTATAAATAAGGTAAAGCGTTTTTTTTCTTAAAAGTCGACTTTGAATAAAGGCTATATAGACGCTTAATTTGGGTCTAAAAAAGTAGACCACGAAATATATGTTCTAATTGTTTTTGTACTTTTTAAGAGTGCACCTACACTTCATGCGTACAATCAAGTTTTATATTCTCTGACAATTCCTTTGTAAAAAATAAAAACTTCCCATGTCGTGATGAGCCGTTTTTATAACTTAAGAAAATGCATTATGTTAAATTTACTTCAAGTATTTTACTGTTCCAAACTTCCAATGTCATGTTGTATTTTTTTGAATACAGTTTTATATACTGATTAAGAAAACTCATTATGATAAGAGTACTACATGAACAATTGATTTAATGTTCAAAATTTTCTTTGTTTTATATTTTAAGATTAATTTTTGTGTTATACCGGTGTATGAAAACATTAACTCCAAAAAAAAAAAAATGTGATAATTGAATTTAGATTTAAAGAATAATTTTAGACAGTAACTGAAAACACTTTTAACTGTAGTTTTATAATATGTGATGTTGTTAATGGTGATTAATTATTACATAATTTTTTCATGCATAGTTTGGATACAAAAGGAGGAAAGGGAGGGGACTCTCATCCGCCAGGGATTTACTGACTTTCTTCTTTACTTACGTGTACCTGAATTTTACGGGGGATTTTGCTCTATTGATTTGTAGTTTTGTGCAACTAGAAAGTCAGTGACCAATAAAAGAAGACCTTAGTCATTATTTTATATAAGCTTTTCTCCAGGAGTAAATCAATATCAAATTTCACCTTATCATAAGTATAATAATCTGATATAAACAGCTTTCCTAGATACACATGTGATTTTCCATCATAAATTACTCGTTCCTATCAAACTATGTGGACACTTTTGTCATTTTTTGTACTTTGTAAAATAGAAGTATATCACATTGAAATTTGTTTTAAGATAATAGATATTGAAAAATTAATAAAAAGGAAAGATAAAAGAAAAAAAAAAGAAGCTTAAAGGAATGAGAAAATGGCCTTTAAAGATAAGATTAATGAAAGGAAAAGAAATTGTGTAGAATTTTGTCCAACGGATGCGTTTGAAATTGATCCTTAATTCTTTTGATATACACATGAATGATTAAAATCTCGCATGAACGTTAGGTAATCTTGTAAATAAATCTAAACTTGTCATGTCCGTGAGGTAGAGAAAACAGGCAGGCCCTTATCTACAGTTGTGTTCCTGGTCCTGTATTTGACAATTTAGGGTTAAATAGGTACGTATAATAAAGTACTAAAAAGTACCGGGGTAAACAAACGGGTAGCAAGGTGCAAACGAAGGGAAAAAAATATAAGGAGAAAAAAAAATGTTAGACAGCAAATTTTTCTTTGTAGGTAAGGAAGTATGAGTTAAGGTCGATAAGTCCAGTAAAGGGGGTTAAAGTAGAAATTAATTATTTTATGCAAATGTTTTAGAAACACAACAGACTTGCTGTTTTTCCTTATTTAGATTTTCTTTTGTTGATGAGGGTTTTTCGGGTGCGAGCGGTAAAATATGCATAATGTATGATAAGGGAAAAAAAGACATGCTTTCTTCCCTGCATGAGTACTATTTTTTTTCGATGCACTTCTGATAATAGGGTCACTTTTAGATGAATATCTGAAATTATTTGATAGTGAAAAGATAGTGTCCTTCGACTTGTTTTGATATTCTGACTTTTTCAATGCATCGCTTATGTCTGTTGAGAATTTTGTTTCAAAAACTGGCAGTTTCGATTTTTTTGATTCGTTTTGTTTGGTTTGTTTTTGTCTTACTATAATTTCTTTCTTTTTTGTACATTCTATGCATAATATGGGTAAATTGTTTGTTTTTGTCTTATTTCTTTTTTGTACAATTTATGCATAATTTGTGTAAATTCTTTAAAATTATCTAAAAAGCAAGAAGTTTTAAAGGGAGATAAAATAATCACAAATAAATATAATCGTTTATCCTTCAACATACCCCCCCCCCCCAAATGCACCTCACCGGGTGCTAGTCACTGCGCCCCAAAACCAGAACGTCCCATGCATGAGCGCTCCAAAGATTTTTACCGGCGCCCAAGTACAAATATGAGCGCCCCAAACGTATTTTTCGAGCACCCCAAACATATTTCACGAGCGCCCCAAATTTGCATTTAGAGCGCCCCAAGGTTTATAAAGTAGTGTAGAACGAAATAATTGCCTTTATTGTATGTTTTATTACAATATGATTTTTTTGTTAAAATAAACTGATATGAACAATTCACGAGCGCCCCAAATTATGTTTATATCGTTTATATTGTTATTTTTCTTTTTTTTTTTAAATTTTGATTTATTCAGTGCAAATAAGAATTAAGGATCATCTCAAATAATAAATACACTGATGTGTATTTCTGCAGTAACTATAATTTATAACCAAAAAAGTGTTTAGACTGTCATATACATGTATTTATATGCATACATGTACGTTTAGAAATATTCATTTTAGAAAGGTGTGGTCTTTTATCTTATCTCCTTTATCAAAGATAAAAAAAAAACACTTGAAAATGACAGAGATTGCCCAATGCACTCATTACCAATGACAAACAATCAAATAAAAATTTAGAAACTATTTTATTTGGCTGAATGGGCCACGGCCGCTTAAATGAGGGAGCCGAGGCAGCAATATACTGTCTTGTAACGGCATCCCTAAAAATGCAAAGGGAAGCCTGGGAACAGATGTTCACCTTTCGTGACTAGTCCAAAATGCACACAAAATATTCAGTTAAATGACAATAAGTTCCGAAAGCCTACTGGTGAGCCTAATAGCCGCCACGAGACCATGTCAGACATGGGTTAAATTTGTATGCATATTAATGCAGTAAAATAATGAGAGTGCGAAGCCCCGTGTGCACATGCACATTGTAAGAGTTGCTGCCCTTGGTGCACAACATTCTTGCTAAAAGTATGCACCATTTCCCCCTGTTTTCAAGAAAGATAAGGTTGGAAACCATATTGGACATTCTAAAAAAATTTTAAAATTATTGCACTTACATGTAAGTTTAAAGAACTATGAATTAATATAAGAGACGCATCGTTTTATCTTTCCTGATATAAATTATTTTTTTTCAATTAAAAAAAAATTGGCATCGATATTATGAATTGTTCAGAAATAAGTTCTTTCAAGGAGAGATTAAACTTTATTAAACTTGCATTATCTTTACATATTTTAAATGCTGAATTAAAGTTTAATGCACAATCGTGTAAACAGGGCATAATGCAACTTTGATCTATAGTTATATGGCCGACTTCAAATATAAAGTCGTAAGTTTCCTAGACTGACTTTTTTGTTCTATAATCTCTGAATGACATGCATAATTTGCGATTGATTAATGTGCGTACAATGCAAAGAAAAAATGAGCAAGTTTCCAGAAAACAATGTGTCCTTAAAATATCATGTTATGCAATTTCTAAAGTAACAGAATTATTTGATATTCCCGAAGGAGACTTGCATTAGTCCGCTTATTGCTGTCCGCTATCTTAAGATCCCTAAATTTTATGTCATAAAAGGTTAAGTTCTAGCTAACATTCGAGGATATTCATTTTTTTGTACTATACTATTAATCACTCATGTCTAGAGCACATTTACATTCTTAAATTTCCTGGAAAAAGACAATTCAATGTAGTTCTGCTTACTAGTATTTAGATTCCAAAAGGGGAGTATCGATCATACACGTGCATATTCGCTTTTGGAATTTAAAATTTATATTTATCTTATAATTTAGACTTTTTCACTTAAACAAATAGAAAGAAAAACTATTAAAACAGATAATTTTAATAAGGAATTTGGAAAAAACGAACAGTATTCAATATCAAAGTCCATAAAACAATACAAAATAGGAGCAGAGCAAATACAGACCTTCAAAACATCAGAGGTGCATGGGATCAGGTGCCATGGAAGAGAGAGCATCCCCTGCCGACCAGTCACACCCGCCGTGTGCTCCTTGTCATTATCGGGAAATAACGGAACAATTCGTCGTCAATTCAGTGTATAAATAATTGACTAACAATTAGAATGAAAAACGTCAGTCACCATTTGACTCAGTGATAAATTGTATTTGCTGACAAGGTCATTGTATCGACCATAGAACTTACGAAATGATGACTTTAAGCGAGACTGCAGATATTCTTGTTTTATCAACTTGTTTGTCAATAATTCACCTCGTTTTAGAAAATGTTCATCCGTAGAGCATGCTCTTGCGTATCGAATCTACTGAGAGATATAAACTCCGTATGCAGGTAATGAAGGTATATTGCTGCATAAGGGAAGTGGACGATAGAAAATGTAAAGTTATCACGTTTATCATATAGCTTGGTTACATGTAGATTACCATTAACGTCTTTTCAAGTAAAATATCCAAGTATGAAACCGATGTGTCAGACCCTGTGGTATCTTTTATCTCAAGCTCACCAGGATACTAGTATATCGTATCGACATAGGAATGGAAATTACCATTGTTGATTGACAATACGTCGTCGATATATCTAAATGTCGAGCTGAAGGCCACAGCAAGTGTTTTTTTTCTTTTCACACATAAGATTTTGCACAAATTCTGCCTCATATGAATATAAAAATAGGGTTGCTTATAACGGAGCGCAATTGGTACCCATGGGAATTCAAATAAATTGTTGGAAGACCCGGTCTCCAAAAACCACATAGATATTTTCAATCAGAAACTCGAGCATCTTTTAGATGTTAGCTTCAGAGTATACTTGTGTGTGCAATCAGAATGTGTTTTAACAAAATAATTTTGCAAATGACCAATGGCCAGGAAAGTAAATTTACGAGTTTTATTTTTACTTTAAAAGCAGCTATCAATGATATCAAAAGGCCTGGACTGTAATTTATTGGGGAGAATGGATGTGTATAAAGTTGAAAAGTCGTATGTTTTAACAAAAGCATTGTTTGAAATACGTGGACCGAATTTTGATAGTACAAATTTTCTGTCACTTAAACAGTGTTTATGTTATGGTTATTTAAAATCATATTAAGAGTTTGCTTATTTGTATGTTGTTTAACGTCTCTCTGGAGAATTTTTCACTCATATGGAGACGCCACTTTTGCCGGTAGAGAACTGACTTTGTCCTATGCTTGGCACTCAGGGCAATTTAGCAGCAAGGATCTTTTCCCTCGGCTTACACGGTCTCATCCGAAATGAAACTGCAAATACCATTTAATAAATACTAGCAACTGTTTGCAGTAAATTATGTTCGTTATGTTTTCGCACCAAATAGGTTGCATAGTTTTTGGCTTGACCTCTATATTTTTTGTGCTGAATGATTTCTAGAAGAAAAATCTTATTCGAAGTATGCAGTATATTTGTTAAGTTTGGATTTCTATTTTACATGCAGTCTTTACTCATAATGTTTTAAAATGTTCTATACGGCTCCTATACTATAAATTTAATTAGCTGTCACAAATTCTATCATCATATTTGGCATATATATCAAATAATTTCGTGAAAGTCCGAATAAAAAAAAAACAGTTCAGTTTAGCTTAAAATTAACTCTACATGTGTATTTAGTTATATAGTAATAATTAAATCACGGACCCTCACTTTTTATTTTATTTTATTATAAAATAATTTTAACCATTCAGCTTAAAGTCAGAAAAATGACAGTACTTTCAAATGATTTTATTGCTTTCAAAAATTTTTAATGCTAGAAAGGTCAAATAATTGACTCTGTGAAGTAATTTGAAGCAATTTTGTTGTCACAAATTAATTTATATGTGACCATATTCAAGATGAAATAAGACTGTTTATTCCAATAATTCATTTGGATAAGAAATATCCAGGAAAGACTCTGAAGAATTGATTGATATGTTAGACGTAATTACACTGACAAAAGGTCATACTGATGACTTCATTGTGCTGAAAGTTGCATACTGAACCCCATTTTTCTTTAAAAATTTTATTAAAATATATGTGTAGAATCAAAACTATACTTGACAATAAATTCTCAATACCTTTGATGACAGGAGCCAACCTCCTCAAATTGTACTCGGTACCCTTGAAATTAACGATGTGAAGTAGCCAAATTTAAGCTGATTCTTACTTAGGTTCTTCAACTGTGGTACAAAATATTCAGAAGTACTGAAAATCAGATGTGGATTCTATAAAATATCTCAGAGATTACGACTTCTCTTCACTTTATACATATATTTCTCATTGCAAGTCGGCATTACGTAAATTCTTTGGTCTATATAAGTTGATAGCAATCATATAACCTTACTTTGGCTGATTCATGTTTGGCTTTTGATTTAATTAACGCCGATATAGACAACGTAGTGTCTGTCTGACTTGTAAATGGAATATGGAAATATAACGAAGAGTATTCAAAGTCAAAAGTCCATTAAGCATTGCAAAATAGGAGCGGGGCAAACATGGACCTGTAAATCATCATAGGAGGGATCAGGTACCATGGAGGAGTGAGCATCCCCTACCTAACAATCAACATGTGGTCACAGCGGAAGTGACCCGTCAACAGGGATGCTAATTCCTCCTAGGCACACGATCCAACCGACAAAATTTCCGGGGATTTCCGTGTAAAATTACCTCTTTACAGATTTATATTGATTGGGGTCTTTTTCCTGATCGATCTTGTTCATTTTCTTCATCATCATTAAATTTGCAATATAATTTGTAATGACAATAATGATTTCTTGCAAAGGTTGGTGTGGATACAAAATTTCACAGTTTTAATTGAAACAAGATCTAAAATACAAATAGTTATTTAAAATTTGTACAAAGGTATTTACAAGGACAGAGCGAAATGGACAATATAATTTACCTGTAGGTTTGCGATCCTTTAGAATGATAAATAGAGAAAAATAAAAAGTGACTTTAATTATCTATGAAGTTTATTACAATGCATTAAGTAGCATTTTCAATTACAATAGAATGATGTTCTCTTACTGAAATCAAGTTTCATTAAAACAACTCCGCAAAAAATCTTATTGATACAGTAATACCTTTCATGCAATTTGCAATGCGATAAACAAAATTCTGTCAATACTTTTTTTTAGCTGTGGCTATCATGGGACAGATACTGTTAATATATAGGTCACTTTACAAATACTGTTGATATACGTATATAACTTTAATTATTTTCATGAATTTTAATTTGTTTCTTTTCGAAGAATTAAATAATGATGAATACATTTAAAATCAAAAATAAAAATGCATATTAAGTGCACATTAAACATGCTTGTCGATACATGTTCTGAAAATATTAAAAGCACCGATAAAAAGTTATGATTCAGTTTTAAGATACATTTTAACCTATTGTTCACCATTATTTTTTTGAAAGAACTATTTTGGCATTCCATTATCGTTATAATTACATGAATTTTCACTACATGTACAATGTTTGATGACCTGAAATATATATACACAGATGTATCACTGAGAGACATATTAAAAATAATGTTTGCAAACCTAGAAGCATTAAAAAGTGTTTGCAATTCAAGATCATATTGCTAAACAGTTTGACAAATTATGCTTAAAACAGGAAATTGAATATCATAATAGATGTATATCTGCCATTTAAATGACTGATAATATAACCTTTTCCATATTTGGTCATTTTGTCCATGTTTTACTTTATTTCTTGTTTATTTGAGCAGAATCAAACACATTAGTTGACAGTTGACTAGTTTACACAATCATGTATAAATATTTTCGATAGTTAACTTCATACATGTAATATCAACATAACATTTAAGCCCTGATATGAACTAGTGTATTCTTGGATAAAAGAACTAATTTCTGTTCAAATAAGAAAATAAACTTTATCCCTTTCTACATAAGAGTTTGCTGACTACAGATGGTCTAAAAGTAACACTTTACACTAAAAAATATATATTTCTATTTAGCAAAAAAAGTAAATATATACTTTGTACATTACTGCTGACAAATGACCAGTGCTAACCTTTTTAACTCTTAAAATCTTAAAATAATGAGGTAATGTGTTATATTTTCAATACCAAAATACTGTATGATTTTATTAAGTAAAAGTGATATTTTGTCACTGTGTAAAAGAACGTCATATGTTGTGACATCATGAATGATATTGCGAGACTGTGAAAAAGGATTTTAACAAATTTTGGAGAAACTTTGGCAGTTCTAACCTCTGTCAGAGGAGTATTAACAAATTCCTTATCTGTTATAAAATTTAGTAATCTGTTTTAACAATTTCGTAACATGTTATTTGTTATAACAAAAAATAAAATATAAATCTGTTAAAATAAAATATTCAGAAGCTTCACACTCGTAAAAGTATACCTCAAATTCCCATCCCACTTGTAAAATACATTTCATACTAAACAAACATTTGAGTATCTCTATATAGTTTTACTAAATGCATAAAATTAAAGTAATATGTATGCTGTATTTTGCCCAGTTTTACACATTTTATAGATAAAAAGTAAAACAAGGCTTATATAACAGTCATTTTCTGTGTAGCAGCAATGTCATTTAATTGTTATGCAATTAGACCAGAATTACGCTTCTTCAGTTTGCATGGTAACGAGATGCTACAATTCTCTTTTTGTAATGACAAACTGTTAATCGTCCACTAACCCCGAAATTATGATGTACATTTAAAATATGGTCTTCCGTTGCATCTTGAAAAATGTCATCCTTTCTTTCATATCATTTGAGTGCAGGTTTCATATATCATTTGATGAGACATGTTGTCTAGCACTTAGGTCCAAGCACTGTGCGTGCTTTATTAAAGTATTTCACAAGTCTCACGTAGCAAACTCCGGGCCGTGCCGATCAAAGGGACGAACTGTTGGAATAACCATCAGCAGAATGATGGTAGATAACAAGGTACCGAAGATAAACACCCAGAACAAGCACCTGTCAATCACTTCTGCTGCCTCCATCCACCGCTTACACAACAAGTCCGACCTCTCCTTCTCATCCTCCTTATCCACTAACATCTGCAGACGAGACAGAATCTCCCTGGTGACCCATGAGTCGCTGCCGAGTTCCACTTCTCTCACGTGACCAGCATTGTTCATTTCACACTTTTGTTTCGTGCTGTTGTTCTCGTAGTCAATCAAAGCACAACCTGAGTCATTTGAGAATGTCGTGTGCATCTGATAATATTTTTCTTTTGCATGTTCATCATCTCTCGCTCGATAATCTGTGTCTTTTACATAGGTCAGTTTCATACAGTTCATTTTTGCACAAAATAGAACTAATTTACGAAACCATCTCGGAAGATCCACCTCTTTGAATCCTCTGACGTTAATGTTTGACGTCACAACAGCCATGATGACGGAGAATGATGTGAGAGACATCACCGTTGTAAGATAAATACCTAATGTAATTGAGAGAAAAAGTGTAAAACTACATGTTTTAATTTTAATCAACAATTCTCAGATTATTTAATATTTTTTCCAATTAAACATATTTTTACCATCACTATGCATATAAAATCCCCATTAAAAGTAGTTAGTTCAAATATTTTTAAGCAAATTATGTACATGTAAGCTGCCAACGAAAAATCTTGCACTGTCCACTTGTCTATTTTTTTTTGTAGCTAATTCCCTTTTCTTGATTATTTTACGACACAATAAGACCAACTTGCAAGGCATGTGATTGAAATTGACTTTGATGAATTAAATGAGAAAGTAATTTGAATTATTGAGTAAAATAGTTGGGTAATGATCTGAATGATGAATGCTGTGCTTAGTGTTCATTGAGAAATTCAGGAAATATATTCTTCATTGCGAGGAAATCGAACCATTGCTTTGTAATAACAAAATAAAGATGGATAGACAAGCTTTCCGTGTTTTGTGGTTCTTAACTTGCAAAAGCAGAAAATCAAGCTGTATTCAATAAATAGGACAATCACCGAGGAATGTAATATCTAGAATTCCGCGGATGGCTTGAAATCAAAGGCAATACAAGATAATTGCAGTGATAATATTGTCATTGGAGCACGAGCCGCATCCGCCATTCCTTCGTGATACTTTTGAAACATTCCTCTGAATAAGTCGGCTATCCTCATATGAACTTTGCTTTATGTGCAGAGTATAAGAAGTCGCCATAAAATCTTAAACCCTAATTACATTGAAATTATTAAAAGAACTTACTTCTGAAATTCAGAATATTATCAATAAAATTAAATAATTAATCAAATTAGAATATTATCAATAAGTGTTCTGCTTATGTAAAAGCATACCTATCAATGGGACAAAGTTAGAAGTGGCTGGCATGTTTTCTGCAATAAGTAACATAAAGACAGAGAATGCCAAGAGGACGGTGAGCCCTAGCGATACTTTCTCGCCACTTTCGGGGCGGATCCAAAATCCTACCATCGTCAAAACAGATAACATAACACAAGGAATGATGACGTTATACGTGTAATAAAGCGTGCGACGCTTGATGTGGATCCAAAACGTCACATCCGGGAACATTTCTGAGCAGCATGGGTAGCGAATATTGTGACGTATAGACTTGACACCTAATAATTCCCATTCACCATTGAGCACAAAGTTTGTCAAATCTACTCCCTTGGTTGTATTAAAAACATCGACCTGTGACCCGTCGTAGGCCCAACTCCCAAACTTCATCTTACAAAGTTGATCGTCGAACGGGTAATAGGTGATGTCGATTTCGCACGTGCTGCGGAACTTGACGATTGGTGGCCAGAAGACCTGTCCGTCATGTGACACCATCGCCAGCGCCTCCATATACCCATTTGTGTAGTCCTCAGCACTGAAGGTAGACATAATCATTTACATTTGCAAATGCTTTTACTTATATGGTACTATTTGAGGGATCTGGTTTTATCATTGTATTTTGAAATATTCATAAGCGACTAAGATTATAGTATCATTAATATGTCACTTGAAGTGCTATTTGTCAATGTTCAAATTCATATTTTAAAATTAAATTACTCTGTCGGACAATCAGTTTTAGAATTCAAGAAATTTCTGTTCATTTAGATACTCTAAAGCAATACAAAAAAGCAATTCTTTTAACATGTTCTATTAAATAGCTTGCCATTAATTAAACAATACATACATATACATAGGGTTATGTTTAAGCAAGAAATATACTTCAAACTCTTATGGTATGTTTGGCTCACCTGTTGTAGAGGAACATAAAGTATGTTTGGCTCACCTGTTGTAGAGGAACATAAGGTATGTTTGGCTCACCTGTTGTAGAGGAACATAATGTATGTTTGTCTCACCTGTTGTAGAGGAACATAAGGTATGTTTGTCTCACCTGTTGTAGAAGGACATAAGGTATGTTTGGCTCACCTGTTGTAGAGGACTATATCAGGTAACCAGATGTTGGTACACGGAATACGAAGCACTGTCAGATTGTTATAATCAGCTGGGTCCCAGCTCAACTTCCCATCCACCCACTCCTGTAATTTACATTAATGTAATGCTAGGTCATTTAAATATAATAGTGTTGTTATTTTATTATATAATCTGCTGTTTTCCAGGTCAAATTCTCGTTCATCCTTTTTGTGTTATATAAAAAATACATGGAATGACATGTTATTCTAATTTAAGTTATATAGAATCCGTATACAAATAATAATTACTGCCTCAATAAAAACAAGAGGCCCAAGGACTTCAACAGGTCTTATCCATGTACAGCATGCACATTCCTAGGCAAAATTATTATATTATATATATTATATACTTTAGCCCAACCCTACCCTCAGCAACAATTAACTCTTCCCCAGGTAATGTAATTTAGACACACTTGAATCTGAGTGCTTCCAAGGGAATATGCCTAATCATGCATGAATTTCTTGTTCTTAAAAAGATTTTTAAAGCGTCTCCAGGCAATGTGATTTTAACACATTTGAATCTGAGATTGCTTCCATAGGAGTATTTATGTTCTTAAAAAAAAGATTTTTTTCCCTATTTATTCCTATGTAAATCTTTGAACGCCCAGTGGCCTCACTCAACCCCCGAAGGTTATGGTTTGAACAAACATAAATCTATACTACATGAAATTTCTCCTACATGTAACTAAATATTATGGTTACATATTTTTTTTTAATAAATATTAGGTTATAACCAAAAAGGAATTTTCACTATATATAAAACATCGCCCCCTTCAGTTGAAAAAAACCAGATACCCTGTACCCAAGAATACTCTGTGCCAAGTTTGGTTACAATTGCTCAATGGTTCTAAAGAAAATAAAATTCGGAAAAGTTTAAATTTAATGAAGCAGCTGCAAAAAAGATAACTTGCCCATTTTGACTTTATAAGTATTTTAATGAATCATTAAGTATAATTTAATAATAACTGCTTCATTGTACTTGACGGTACTAGTAACAGGGAAAATTTTCACCAGCAAAAACCATTGTCAATCTTTGCAGCGCCAAAATTTTTTGGCATGAAAGTTTTTCTTCAAATACAATCAGTATTTGTACGTACATAATGATGCACAATAATGTATTTTATGATGAAATTCTAAAATTTGAATCAACTACATGTTACGGTTAACATATTACCTGATCCAACCAGATGTTGGTAGTCAGAACTTGATTTTTCTCATCCTACAAAAATGAAAGTACATGTTAGAGGACCATCTTGTTATTTCATTCTCCAAGAGAATCTGGAAAACAATTATCCCCTAAAGTGCATGAAACACCGCTTAAATCAAGAACTTTAAGTGTATTAATATGAGATTTCTTTATCGGTGCCAAAAATAACAAGAAGTTTTTCCATATGTTGAGCCACAATCAGCTCAAACAGGGCAAACCAAACTGGATTATAATTGTTACTTTTTGCCAACTACCATCTATTAAACTTAACATGTTTGACCATCAAAGGCTTCAATTTCGTGATTGAAACCGAAAGAGAAGTTAATATGATACGATAGCTATTTCAGTTATAGACAAGTATGATTTTGATCATTTATGTTATTAAAAAGGCATTCACTTCAAAATTTTCAGGAATGAAGAGTTGGATAACTTTATCATTGTTTAGATGGGAAATTTTAACATATTGGCTGTGCAAGTAAAATGACTTTTATACGAGATACAAAACATACATAAAACAATAAAAGAGAAATCTACCCTATTTAATATTATGCTTTCTATGCATGTTTTGTTTAATATTAGGTTATAACAAAAAGGAAACATACGACTACACGGTAGAAGGCATTGTTGTACTATTGTTTGATTATCATATAATTATCAGCATGTTCATGCAATTAGAGTAACTAAATATAAATGCAGAAGTGTTGTGCAAGTAGGAAAAATCATAATCAAAGAACCTAAACAAATCATTAATGAAGCCTCCCGACCAATTGAAAAAATTAATAGCATATGTACATAGCATTTGCTTGACCACTCATGTTGAGAATGCCTCTTGGAGGCTTGTTTTAATCTGTTGTATCAAGAAGTGATGTAAGGGCTGTATAATCATTTTTCTATCAATGGTAACAAATATCTTTGTTTTTTATCGTTGATTTCTGCTTCCTCTGTTAATAACTATCTTCTATCATTCTCCTTGCCTATTCAAAATTCTGGCTCTGGTTTTCTGGTAATGGTTTTCAATTCAACTATGCACTTTTAATACTTGTATAATATTTTGTCAACATTTAAGAAGCTGTCATAATCTTTTTCCACTGTTTTAAATCCTTTCTCTTATTTCAATATTTTAACAGCTTGATTGAAACACTCTTTTTATTTGTGCTCACAAATATGTCGAATATCTGGGTCAGTGATATACTGATATTAACTCACCAGCTCGGACATCTAGGTCAGTGATATGCTGATGTTAACTCACCAGGTCGAATATCTAGGTCAGTTAAATGCTGATGTTAACTCACCAGGTCGAATATCTGTGTTAGTGATATGCGGATGTTAACTCACCAGGTCGAATATCTAGCTTAGTTAAATGCTGATATTCACTCACCAGGTCGAATATCTAGCTCAGTTAAATGCTGATGTTAACTCACCAGGTCGAATATTTGGGTCAGTGATATGCTGATGTTGACGTGGACGGAATGAGAGGCGTTGTACACGGGTCTCGTGTTTCTATCGTAATTATACATCAGCTTCTTATATAACCGCTGCTCGTCTGTCATCTGAGATCGGGAGGTATTCATACAAATCACATCTACAAACAAAAATATCAGACAGCAACAATAGGCTGAGGAGTTCATACAAATCACATCTACAAACAAAAATATCAGACAGCAACAATAGGCTGAGGAGTTCATACAAATCACATCTACAAACAATATAACAAAGATAACAGACAGCAACAATAGGCTGAGGAGTTCATACAAATCACATCTACAAACAAAAATATCAGACAGCAACAATAGGCTGAGGAGTTCATACAAATCACATCTACAAACAAAAATATCAGACAGCAACAATAGGCTGAGGAGTTCATACAAATCACATCTACAAACAAAGATAACAGACAGCAACAATAGGCTGAGGAGTTCATACAAATCACATCTACAAACAAAAATATCAGACAGCAACAATAGGCTGAGGAGTTCATACAAATCACATCTACAAACAAAAATATCAGACAGCAACAATAGGCTGAGGAGTTCATACAAATCACATCTACAAACAATATAACAAAGATAACAGACAGCAACAATAGGCCGAGGAGTTCATTCAAATCACATCTACAAACAAAAATATCAGACAGCAACAATAGGCTGAGGAGTTCATTCAAATCACATCTACAAACAAAAATATCAGACAGCAACAACAGGCTGAGGAGTTCATTCAAATCACATCTACAAAAAAAAATATCAGACAGCAACAACAGGCTGAGGAGTTCATTCAAATCACATCTACAAACAATATTACAAAAATATCAGACAGCAACAATAGGCTGAGGAGATCATAAAATCACATCTACAACAATATCAAAAAAGATATCAGACAGCAACAACAGGTTAAGTAGTAATCTGATTCCGATATCTGATTACCATTTCTTTGTGATAAATATTAATGCATTATCAATTTACCTCTACTAGTATGATTCTACATCATAAATGGTGAAACAATGAATGTATTCTGGGCATACAATATATCATGTTTTAAGCGACTAAAACGAAAATACAGTATGCAAAATCATAACTATATATTTTTGGGGCATGTTGACATAAAAATGGCTATTGTTCAGTTTGTTTTCTACTTCTAGGGCATAGTTTATTACACTGATGTAAAACAATTTCCATTTTAATTGCTCGAACAACTTTATGATACAAGCACAAAGTAATTGTTACATTTTCTATACACGAGTACTTTGAATTTGAAACTAAAAAGATATTCTAGTTTCTACACCGATTGGTTAAGACCAGGGTTTATGTGTATAAAAATCCTTATGTCCTTAAGCATATACATATAATCTCCTATGATTTGTGATTGGACATGACTTTTATGCAACTCGTCGTGTTTTTTTCACCTCGCCATACAAGACTCTGCATGGAATAAAATTCACAGAACTCGTAAGATATAAACTATATCCAACAACAAATCATGGGAGATCCTATATAAATCATATTAACATTAACCTTTTTAACATTTCAAAATAATGACTCTTAAATGCGTTATATGCTTAATACTCCTAGGTTTGTAGCCTAGTTTTAGTTTTTATCTAACGAGTTGTGTTAATTTTATGGTCTTGCATGGCAAACTGATAAAAACACAAGACGAGTTGGATAAAAGTCATATCCAACCACAAATTATGGGATATTCGTTTTATCCCATGTTTTATACATCACTATCAATGTTTTACATCGTTATTTTATTAGAATCCATTTTTGTCTCAATGTCACAATGTCTCAGAACATCTAAGTAGAACTTCATTTAAATTAAGAATTTCTTGAAACGTTGCATATGACCTTAATCACTCTCACGGTAAGCTTATTGTGACGTCATGACTGTGGGATATAAACATATTCAATTCTAATATCCATGGGATAAATAGAGGATATCTATATTGTGTGATTTGATATTGGCTTTATCCAACGAGTTGAAATGGTGTATATATTCGCGAGGCTTGCCGAGCGAATATACACCATTTCAATGAGTTGGATAAAGCCAATATCAAATCACACAATTATCATGATTATAGATGTTCTATAAATCTCATACGACTTTCGTTTTAACAGAACATTGAGACTTCCCCTGCGAAACTACATGAATGATTGCCAATTCAAATTGATGACGTATAACTTGATGACGTAGCACCGTTGATGTTGACATGCCTCGAAAGAAAGTAAAAAAGTTAAAATTTTTGCTATCTGTGTCTTTTGAAACATTATGTGACAATTGCTAGAGCTTTACATCAAACGAACTATTCTGACTGAAAGTTGTAAGGACCATAGGATCGTGAAAAGGAACTCTTTGGACGATGGCAATACAAAATAGGCAAGGCTAGGGGTCTACTTGTAGATTCATTGTTGATCCATGGTAAGTTACACCTACATTACATGTACTAGGTAGGCATACGTGGTATAATATAAGAAAGCATTATTGAAGTTGTTTAAGAAATCTTATAACAACAACTTAACTGCTAGTCTTTAGACCTTCTTTTTCCCAAAACAATTTAAAGGGTGGGGGGTAGGCCTAACATCTGTCTTCAAGTAGTCAATACAGGTTCCTTGATAAAATAAGACACTTCTTTGACATATGCGAGTCTTTTTCTTGCTTTTAACGATATTATTGCCCTGTATCATTCATTTTATAAGGGCAATAATTTTCAAAAATAAAAGTTTCAATGAAATAAAATCTTGAAGCGAGGGGTCGTGTTAAAACCGGAAGTGCTATTGATAAAGCATCTACCCGTGGATAAAGCATAAGTTTATCCAACGGCCTGTATCACCAACACATATGAGATAAAATTAGGAATAAAACAATGAGGGTTTCAAATACTCTTTGAAAAATATATCAATTATTTGGTTAGTTGAGTCGAATAAAATCTATAATCAAGCCCTTTTTTATGGCATCCTTTGGTAAGAACTATCATATAGTGCGCTATATATTCAAGAGATAGGCCGAACTTAATTCAATATAATTCTTAAAATTAAGCTGAGTTGTTGTAATTGGACTTCCCAAACGTATTTTTAAGGATCCCTCTTTTCCGTCTATATCCTTCATTATAGAAACGCAATAGGAAAAATATCAAATCATCTTGACAGTAAATTCCATCTGGAGTTCTGAGAGAATTAATAGCCTTTGCTATGATGCCTATTGAATTACATAACAAAAATATGTTTGTTGCATGTCTAAACGCTCCTAGCTCCAAGAATAAGTCTGGCCTACGGTGTTTAATGTGTTTCATTTTTATATTTTCTGTTTCAGAATCTCATTTTTCCTTTAAATGGTCTATTCCTATAAAATTGTCAGATTTGTTTTTAAAAAGACCTTAAAGGAACAAATTCCAAATAAATTGTAAATAAAACAAAAAGTTATGAGATATCAGAATGTACATGGCCAGCTATATGGAACACTCATTTTTATTACAATAATTGCATTTTAAAAAAATATAGATATGTTTGTCTTCGACTTTAAAATTATATGTTTAAATTAATTTAGAGAGTTTGAAGAAAACACTCTTAAAATTAATGAGGATGTGAATTTTTGTGTTATTTTTGGAAATGTAAAGATAGTCTTTATAATTTACAGATTGGACTTGTTTGAAATTCATATGCATCCAAGTGCATCGTATTGCTTTTGTGTTTAAACAACATTGTGAACCTCAATAATAATAATAATAATAATAAAAAATAGCATAGAGAATCTGTGATATTGCCTTTCTAAAACTTTGCTTTCTTGCAAAAATACTTTGCAACCAAATAATCTTACCTGCATACGTATCCAGCAGGCACATACAACACAATATAAAGGCCAAAACACAAATTGACGACATCTCTGTCATTCATTCGAAAAGGACAGTATCTGAAAAAAAATATAGAAGATAAAATTTTATCGGATACAAAAAAGATCGAAAAGTGTTTGTTTTTCATTGTATTCGTCAACTTGTTTGCTGCTCTGTATTCACTCTCGTACATGGCACATGAGTTCACCCCTAATCTTAATTTCGGGTAAATTTCCACGTTCAAAGGAAATTAATTTGAAAGTTTGCCTTTTTTAAAATTATAAACTACATGTAGTATTGAAGTTATCATGGCGCTTTTTATAATGCAATCATTACCTATGTTTTTATTCTGTGGATTTGAAAGGTTGAACTGGAAAGAAATTATTTCAAACTCTTTTCAAGTGCCTATCATATCCGTCGTACTTGATAATAAAGATGTTCTTGGTATTGCATACTATAAAGTATAGTTCCATAGCTGAAGTTTTGAAGTTGAGATAATTTAATAATTCTGTAGGAGTTCAGGATGACAAGAAATGTTAAAACTTCTAGAACTCTTGAAAGAAGCTGAGAAATGTTTTCATTCAAAGTAGGTTTATTGAGATTGGGTACACTCTGACATTTCACACACCTTAAAGTGTTTACAAAATAAATTCCGTTATGTTTTCATAGTGCAGTAAAAATATCCCCGATTTACATTACATTTACATTACTTTAATTATTTAAAATCTACTTCGAATAACTGTTTAGCCCTAACGGTATTTTTAAGCCATTTGTATTACAAACAAAAGATAAACATAACATTCCATACAACTGACAAAATATTAACAAATAAAATTTTAATGCTCCTATCTGTATGAAGCTGAATATATTCAATGCAATGAAGAAGTCTGTTTTAATACAATTATTGCAGGATCTATTTAATATCCTTCATTAGGTACCTAAGAAACCTATCATAATAAGAAACCTATAGTTCATAAACCAAATTCATAAAAGAAATTTAAGAGCTAAGTTCAAACTTAACAAGATAATTAAGGATATCCGATCCTCAGCCAGGAAGAATAACTCCAAAAATTAATATTTAATTTAAAAATGCATCAAAATGAAGCTTGAAAATGAAAGTTTTTCATGCAACAATTTTCATTTTCTTCATCTTGATAAGATTTAAGGTTTTTAGAAGTCATAGAAAAGGTCTGATAAAAGTTGATATTTGTACCTTATAAAGGGAAAAAAAATAAGTTTTAGAGAAATAATATTTTCTTAAATTAAGCCTAAGATACCAATGCTTGTTAGCATGATATGAAATAAGACGTGATTTGTGGCGTCTTGCAATGATAGCAAAAGCCTTTTACACTATGTTTTATAGAATACATGACGAAAATAGATGGCAAAAAACATGAAATGTACCACATAAGTATAGAATTCATGACAATTTTTTCTGAATGCCTTGATACCTATCGTTTTTAACCTAGAATATGTTTGCTGATCAATTTGTAATTAGAAAATGCATTGCTGATATTCCAATTCGCTTTTTCTGCAAAAATATTAGAGATTTGACTATTTCCCCTATATATTATGATTAACTTTAATCTTTAACTTTAAAGAAATACTGTGGATAAATTTACATAACTTTGTGGATTCAGAGATATTTTTATGAGTATTTTCGATTACTTAATTGCTAATTTTATAAACCTGCGGATCGGACTACCTTAAAGTGGATAATAGAGAAATAATATTTTTATATATCATATGAGAATATAACTTTCCTTATAAAGTGTATTATTATACAGGGTGTTCTCTATGTAATGACAGTAAGTGTTTAAACCATATAGAATTTAATAAAATGAAATGTCTGAGCATAAACGTAACAATATTGCTTAAAAGATAACCGTAACAACTTGCGCTCTCTCTCTCTCTCTCTCTCTCTCTCTCTCTCTCTCTCTCTCTCTCTCTCTGTGTGTGTTTGTGTGTACTATTTTGATAGGAGAGTTTTGTTTGGGGTTTTCTTTTTTAATAACTTCGAGTTTGTCATAAATATAATTATCTATAAAATAAACATGATGAAAGGGAAATAAGCAGGGCGTTCTGTTTATCCTCGTCTAGGCTCAAAACGAATAAATAATATGTCCATACGTAAACGCAAGGAAAACGATCTAAGGATTATGTCTAACTTTCTTTGATAACTTCCACATCTTTTAATGCTTCTTGCTTTTCTGATACCTTATCTGACAATTTACGTGAACATACACCTTTCTCAATTGGACTCTGTTCAATTGTCCTCGTACCGATAGAAATTTATGTCGTTTCTTTTACAATATAAAATAACATAATAATCTAAAGAAAAATTACATAAAATTATGAGTGATTGCTTGATAATTTGAAAAAAAAAATCTATGCAAAAGGTTCCATCATCTTTCATATACAATCTTCTTTGGTCATGTCCTTTTGCATTAACTATAAGACATTTTAATACAATTGAAAATATTATCATAATTTTCCGAATTTTAATTTCTTTTCTGAAATAATGTTATATTGACGCAAAAAAATACGTTAAGACATAGGATTTACTTTTTATATGAAAAAGCTTAACACCAATTGAAGGATGTTCTTTATATCAACTAACGATTTCGATTGAAATAAAATTTGGCCGGGTAAATAAAACTACAAATATCTACTTACATCTGTTGAACGGGTCAATGCTGTCAGCAAAATTTGATAATGTAGAAAATAAATCAACAAAATGCAGTCGAGTATGCTGACAAAACTACGGTAACATGTGCAACAGTTACACAAAGTCAATATCTAATCAAACTAACTAAGCTTTGTACTTTTGTCTAATTGTTTTATTTATAATTAAACGTGCTCTATTCGCATACTTTTTGATTTGATAATTCTGAGTCTGATGACATTTATATCAATGAAATATATGGACATAACGAACAGTATTCAAGCTCAAAATTCCATTGAACAATTTAAAATAGGATCAGAGCAAACACAGACCTCCAAAAAATAAGAAGTGGGATAAAGAAATTGATCAAATTTCAATACCCTTGTCCTTCCCGTTTCACATCTTTTGAATAAAACATAACAATTGTTTCAATTTGAACAGCTTAGAGAAAGATTAAAGTGAAAAGGGTGAAGAAAGCCAACAGTGATCTATCCAAAAAAAATCCTTTAAACAATATTGATTAACAGTGATCTATCCAAAAAAATCCTTTAAACAATATTGATTGTAATGAAGGGTATGGAGATAACGAACAATATTCAATATCAAAGTCCATAAAACAATAAAAAATTGAAGCAGAGGAAACACGGATCTCTGAATCATGAGAGGTGGTATCAGGTGCCACGTAGGACTAAGCATCCCCTGTTGACCGGTCACACCCGCCGTGTGCTACTTGTCATTATCAGGAAATAACGAAAAAAATAGGTTGTCAATTCAGTGTATAAATAATGGACTTACAATAAGTATGAAAAACGTCAGTCAGTATTTGACTCAATGAATGAGAAATTGTATTTGCTGACAAGGTCATTGTATCGACCAAGAACTTACGAAATTATCACTTTAAACGAGACTACTGATATTCTTGTTTCATCAACTTGTTTGTCAATAATTCACCTCGTTTTAGAAATTGTTCATACGTAGAGCATCCTCTTGCATATCGAATGAACTGAGATTAAAAAGTCCGTATAAAGGTGATGAAGGTATTTTGCTGCATAAGGGAGGTCGATGATACAAAAGTTAAAGTCATCACCTTTATCATAGAGCTTGGTTGTTAGATAACCATTAACGTCTTTTTCAAGTAAAATATCAAAGTATGAAACAGATGTGTCAGACTCTGTGGTTTCCTTTATCTCGTGCTCACCAGAATATATCGTATCAACATAGGAATGGAAATTACCATTGTTGATTAACAATACGTCGTCGATATATGTAAACAAGGATATATCATCACAGTAGTCTATTGGTTGGGCGTTCGTTGTGACCGGTATGCTCGGGTTAAATGTTCGTTCGCCGCACTGAGTCAAACTTTTGAAAAAGACGCAAACATAGGCCATGATCAGTCAGGGGCATAACTCAAACAAGTTATTAAGAAATAACTTAAATAAGTTATTTTACACACATGCATTTTTTTTTATAATAACTTAAATGAATTATTTTTATATCCTACTTGGACATTGATTTCATGGAAATTTTGTGTTTCCTGTCAATATGCATTGCATTTTGGGATTCCATTATGTAATACTAGATGGAGCGCACCGACTCCAATGGAAGAATTGGTGAGGAGGTGGAGATAAATAGCATTTTACTCCTTATTTTGTGGTTTTATGCACATGGTGTATATGTCCAACTTTTATCATTAAATAAAAAAATTTCCCCAATTTTCCCAAGACTTTGAACAATTTTTCTGCATTGAGCAAGGTCTAAATTTAGTCAAACATTTGTTTTTGTCTTGGTGCACAAGCAAAAACCTTTGGTGCACGGGGTGTGAAGTTAGGGAGGAATGACTCAAAATAACTTAAACAAGTTATTAATTTTTGAAGCTATTTTGGAAAAATAACGTGTTTGAGTTACTAATGCTGGGGAAAAGTAGGTCATAGCAAAAGGAAGTAACTCATTGAGACAAAGAAATAACTCATATGAGTTATTTTTGAAAATAACCTGTTTAAGTTATGCCCATGACTGATGATAAGTCCTTCGCCAAACACCTAGCATTAAAAGTGAATGCTAAGAATTTTTCAAATGAGGCCTTAAAACCCGACGTTTCAATTCTATCAGCATTGTTATTTAAGGAAAGACATCAGCAAATATAAATATGTCTAAATTGAAGCCTTTCTCCTCTACGTTCTTATTCCGTGAGAGTCATTAATTATAAATGAAAATATAGGAAAAACATATCACTGCAGAATCGGGGGAAAATTGATGTCACGGTAAGAGTATTTTCTTCCGACGTATATTTTTTTAAAAAAATAATTTCTTCTTCAAACTAAAATGAAAGCAGACCGGTTTAAAAATGAGCACAAAAATGCCCGATGGAATTGGGAGACATGATTTTCATAAATATTGTCAATTAAGATTTCCAGCACTTT